CCCCAATTTCTGGATTGCGAGACATTTTTGGACACCCTGTATAAATCAGAATCTTGTCTCTGCTGCACAAAGAGAGAGAGAGAGAGAGAGAGAGAGAGAGAGAGAGAGAGAGAGAGATCATCATGACCGAATTAGTAAATAAATTAAAGAAATCGAAAGGTGTGCTAATCAAACAAATTAATATTCTATTAATTCGTAATTAGTAATTTATTGTTCTTTGTGATGTTCCACAGCAAGTAAAATACCACCGATCACCGCGAACGCGTTATCTTTTGCTGATGCCACGGTTTAACAAACTGAAGAAACTTCTGCGGTTGACCCTTACGTATGTATGTGAGCTTCTTGCCTATGTTGGTCTATCTGTGAGTTTACCTGCCCTGTTCACCTGTGTGTGTGTGTTATCACTGTAGCTCGGTGCTCGAAAAAGACAGTCTCCAGGCAAATTCTAATCGATATAAAAGTGTTCCGGCTCGTAAAAATCGGACAAAGGAACTAACAGCGCAGAGGACATCATGTTAACCGAGGATATTGCATCGACCGGTTCCTTTCAACGCTTTCTCGCAGAGTATGTCGTTAAAGGAATTCCACCGACGGTGAACTGTGGCACCGAGGACCACGAACGAACGTTTCATGTTTTATTTAAAGGATTCCAGCTGACCTTTAATTGCTGAGCACGCGGCCCGCGTGGACGATCGAAGCCCGTGAAAGGGAATCAGTTATTCCGTTAATGTGTTTTTCTAATGACAGCAGAAGTCGCGGAACGGTGAAACTGCAGGCCAGACGAGAATTTTCCAATCACTGATACCAGCCGGAGATTCTCGAGAATCGTCCGAAAGTAATTCACTAAATCAAAGGCGGAATTTAAATTGCGCTTTTCGAAAATTCTCGCCGCCTCGTCAAAGACCAAAGATATTCCTTTCACGATTCCACTGTTCCGTACTTGTTGTATACATGCATGAAATTGCTTTAATAAACACCCGTTGTCCTTGCGATTTACATTATGTAAAAAAGGGACCCGCGATGCATGTATTGATGCATTTTTTTGTATCTAAGTAAACATCACCGGACTTCGTTGCGACCAGTGCGAGCAGGAAAATAAGTTACGCAAAGAGTGGGATAGGCGACTCATGCGCCGTGAGTCCCGCACAGCGACGTGGCGGGTCTGCTTCTACGACGAGACAGAGGCTCTATGACCCGTCGCTATCATAGTTCAGCATTAGTGTCAGATAAGAAAAACCGGTGAGCTACAAGGTACGTGACTAATCTCCGTCGAATCGTGGCATGTTGCCTCTGAATTGCCTTCGGATCGTGGCATGTGGCCTCCGAATTGCCTTCGAATCGTGGCAAGAAGTTAGAAATAAAAAATCATCATCGTTTTTATTCTAGCATTACTATGTACAGATTGAGCACAAAAATGGATAATTCGGGAAGGGAAGATACGATTATTTAAGCCTTGCGTCTTATTCTTTATAGTTATTGAGAATCGGTAACTATAAAAACGAACCGCAAGGCTTGTGATGTGTGCAATCTGAGCAGCGAATTAAGGAGAAATTACTGCATTCATATTAATGTATATCGACTTGAATTTTTATAAAAACGAATCGCGTCTTAGCGCGACTTAGTACATATTCTGAGAGAGAGAGAGAGAGAGAGAGAGAGAGAGAGAGAGAGAGAGAGAGAGAGAGAGATCTGCGTGTTTCGATTCCAGCTTCAAGCATTTCTGGGAGAAATTACTGTATAATCTATTGGATACCAGTGCATCAGGGCGAAGTCGCTCTCGCACTTTAAACGAACAAATCCATGTTCAACTTTGAAACTGCATTGTATAATGTTCATGCGGTCGACGCGCCACGCCACTGTGCACACGTCACCTGTCCCCACTCCTTGCATAACTTATTTCCGTGTCCGCTCTAGTTGTGACGCTGGAGTTTGTGTTTGCAGCAGATGTTTATGTGAGTCGACCTTAAGCGTGTTCGGCCATTTTTTTAACGATCTTTTTTACAACTACGTTGATTCACAACTTTCACAATTGAGTTTACTTTCGTTCCTAGACTTTGGTAACAGAAGAGTAAAATTTGGTTTCCATTTCGAAGAAATGAATAACATTCATACTTAGCAGATCATGCATGAAATTTGGATCAGGAATCCGACTAGTTATTGCAGTGTAAGGGGTTGATGTTGCGTCTCACACGTCGATCTTGATACGAGGAATTTTTGATGAAAAATTCAAGAATCGCTATGACTCATCGAGCATCATATTCACCGGATGTGGCCAGGCATGATCTTATCCTATTTCGCAATCTCAAATTACCATTTTGAGTCGATTGTAGCCATAAAAGAGAATTCGTAGGAATTGAAAGCTATACCTTCGCAGTCGTTTGAATAATGTTTCGATGACTGGGAGAAGCGTTGGCGCATGTGTATTGCTTCGGATCGAGCTTATTTCGATGGCGACAAAACCGATTTTCATGAATAAATGAGTAGTCCGTGTTTTATCTCCAAGTCCCGGGTACTTTTTTTCTGCATAATGTAGGATGATGATGTCGCTCGTAATTTGTCGCAGGAGAATTTTACGCGGGTTTTATTACAGCCACATTTTATAATGTTTCATAAATGGTAAAGTAACGGAAAACTTACGAGAATTGGTTAGGAAACGTTGAAGCAATTTCTCGAGCTTTTAAAAAAGTATGAGTGTTAAAGATTCCTTAGACTCTTGCAGTTAATAAAGGTCTGTCGTCGGTTAGTTACAAAGTCGTATATCGAAGTAATTTTCCTCTTCGCTTTTATGCTTCACCCTTAAGCGCGAAGCTTCCTAATTAACTATAAAATTCTCAGCAATTTTCGAAACCATTTAAATTTGTTAAGGACTTCGAGTATTCCCTTTGATATACGACATCGTCTCTCCATATAAATTCGGTTATTATAAGTATGCAGCAAAATATTCGGGGGCAAGCGATTCAAACAAAAAAATTGTTTCAGCTTTGCAGGAGCTCAAAGAGTCTTCGGAACGTATTACGATTTTCTGTTTAATGAAAGTGTCCCGTGAACAGCGTTCGCTATGTATCGCAGTTCCTCCGATCCGTTTCCGTCCGATTCGTCGAGCAGAGAGGATACACTGTCCAGTCAAAGGGCTGAATGAGATTTCACGGGGAATTGCGACGGTTAATCAATGTTCAATGTGGCGTTTTATTAGCGACGACTACTTTATACCGTATTATGTCATGTATGTACCTAATACACGGACACCTTCCGACGCTCGGTTAATGTCGACGTGTGGTTGGTTATTGGAACTGTAATTAAGGGATCGTGCCTGGTTGGATGGCCGGAGTGTTATTGATCTTTAGGAATTTATTTCTCGAGAGTTGTGAAACTTTATCGAGAAAATGTTTTCGTATTTTCAATGACTTATCTCAGGGAGTGGCTTAGAATTGTTATGCTTAAAAATATTTATCGATTGTAAAATTATGCTTGTCCTTCTGGAGATCGCGTTAAAAATACGAGGATTTTTTTATCTGTGATTGAAAATTTGGTAACAGTTGTGCCATGATCGAATAATGGATCTTTTGATATGTTGATTGGTGACAAAATGGCGGACGTCTCATTGCATTCGTTTCTAATCAATTTCAAGAATATGTATTGTCATTTCGGCAGAGCTTTTCGAAATTGGGATATTTTTAAACAGGAAAGTTATGGTAGTTAGAAACATGTAGTTTTAAACAGAAAAGTTATATATATATATATATATATATATATATATAACTTTTATATATAACTTTTAATATATAACTAATTTAATATATATATATATATATAAAATATAATATATAAAAGTTATATATTAAAAGTTATATATAAAAGTTTATTATAAGTTTAGAACTACCTGTTTCTAACTACCATAACTTTTCTGTTTAAAAATATTTCTATTATATATATATATACACTCTTATAAAATACACTGCTTCAAATTACGAAAACATTTTCCGAACGAATTTTTGCCATTTTTGAGAAAAAAATTTTCAAAGATCATTCTTTTTGGATCTCGTAATTGAGCAAGATTTCTTTAAGAATCGAAAGCCTGACACTTATGTGCGTAGTTTTCGTCTTCAGAACGTTGCATTCGACGGGTGCACAGGTGTCGGTTACAATGTTCGGTGTCAGAAACTGACCGAATAATCGATACCACGAACATTCAGACCCGACAACGCGAGAGTCCGATTAGGTTACTTCGGGCTGCGGATCGAATTTAGCTCCTGATCAAGTTAGGCTGCGTTTAATCTGTTTGTAATCCAATCTACGGTAGGTAACGACTTTATTATTCTCCAGTTCGAACCACGTGTGATCGTGTAGGTCCTCTTATGCAGTGGATCAGTTTAGATGCACTGTAGATCACCAGCCGGTACAAAGTCGGTCAAAAATAGCTTTGATGTTTCGTGTCCAAGGTCGTGAAAGCCTTTAAATCAAGAATCAAGAATTATTCGCTAAGATGTTCTTATTATAAAAAAAAGAAACAAATAGAAAATGGCACTCGAAACCATTTTAACTCTAAATCCAAAATAATTTTTCAAATCTACAGTATTTGCATTTTATATGACTTGATGCACTCTGCGCACATGAAATTGAGTCTTGTGACTTGCACATAGTTACACTTTCAGCAGTTTCTCGATTATAAAGAAGAACAAAAAGTGTAAACGATTAAACAAGACTCGCGAACATTATCAAAATAATAAAAATCACGACTTCTAACAATACTTCATATAATAAACAAATGAACAGTTCAGAAAGAACAATACATTACCTTTACAACATTGTACAAGTTACAATTTACATTTAAACTTCCAATATCTTGCACATCATGTACACACGCGTCGAATCAATGAAATGATGCAACAGTGTCACAATGAAACTTGCATCGATTTTTCAAAAAAAAAAAAACAACAAATTCTATATTATTGTTGCAGCAGATGTGTAATTTCTATTCATCTGTAATAGGTCCCACTCACCTGATAGCGATGTACCTCCAAATAGCGAGGGTGAGGGTGATGGCGATGCTGATGGTGTGCAGCAGCTGCGTGAAGTGCATATGGAACAGCACGAACACGGCCCATCCGTACGGGAAAATGGGCCTCTTGGGCAGCACGATGTACTTGTAAATGGCGAACGGTATGTACTCCAACATGACCAGCATGTCAGCGGTCGCCAGACCGGTCAGAATCTTGTTGATCGACGCGGCGACCATGTTCTTTCTGGTCAAAACCACGATGTTCAGCATGTTCGCCAATGTGCCGAACAAGCAAACGATAAGCGCCACGTATCCGTGATAATTCTTGTACTCGACGGTGAGATTCCTGACGGTCCCGTTGCAGTAGCAGCCGGATGTCTCGACGGTCGTCTTCTGCGTGGTCAGGTTCTCGAAATTGTAGTTGTTCACATAATCGATGTCCTCGTCGGTGATGTTCCACTTATGGAACAGGTCGGTGTAATTTTCCAAGTGGTTCATTGTCACGCGACGGATCAGCGACCTCAGATGCAGCAGGGTTGCGTTCAGATGAACACGGCGCCAAGCGTACTCGCCGAGGACGTGACGGAGCATCGCATCCTGGGATCCGAACGACGCATCCTCCTTCTGAACCAATTTGTTACTTCGGCGATCGTTCCCTCTTCTTCTTCTCTTCTTCCTGAGAGCATGGGAATCTCTGTCTTAAAGTTTCGTCTGCTAACCGGGAAGAATGAGTTGCTGTTCCATTTTCTGCCTGGTGCAAACAATGCTTTCTCGGATCAACCTATTCAAGATTCAGAGCGGAAGCATGGAAATCCTTATCCTAAACTTTAGCCTCTTCATCGAGAAAGGTGAAAGGTGGTAGACTAGATGCAGTCAACTTGATCCTGGCTCAATTTATTCCTCTTAGAACCCTTCTTCTTCCTCTGACGCTGTTGGAGTAGAATGATCGGATTTACGCAACGGGATTCAAGGATCAGACAGAGAGCATACAAATCTCTATCCTGTAGCTCAGCCTGTTCATCGAGGAAGATGAGTCGCTATTTCATTTCATTCTTGATTTCACCAATACTCTTCCTTACGTTACATCGATTTATTCCTTTCAGAATTCATCTACCACCGATGTTTCGTGGCTGAATGGTGTAGGATTAGGGCATCGAGCACAAAAATATCGATCTGTACACTGTTCACTGGACGTGCAGTTAATTCACTTTGGCAGTCTCCTCGTGATTCAATCGATATTCTTTAACCCAGACCAACTTCATCCTCCATCGAACCTTCACTCAACAACATCACGATAAAATGCCAGGGTTCATTCACCGAACTTGAAGAATAAGGGAAAGAGAGTGAGAATGTAAATCCTGAATCTTAGTTCTTAGGTCAACGATTCTCCATACATCAAATGTTGTAGCAACGTTCCTACAAAACTTTTGCTGCACCAACGTTGCTCATCTTTCGCCTACATCTTCGTCAGCATCTAAGCTCGAAGGATCGTCCGGCTGGCGGAGCAGAGAGTCGCTATCAATCGCGCCTATTCTTACAACTCTAATTACGTCCTTACGCGAAAGCTCGCTCGGAGATCCTTCCCGAACGCTTTCCTTATTGGACAGGAGCAGATGCGGCGTAACAATCTTCAGGATCCAGCCGAACGGATACGTCTTGCGATAGACTGGAGACTAGGTCACGTTTTGCATGTCGTTCGATCGTTCCCCGAGGAATTGCATTCTTCCTCCGGGATCAATGATCCCGATATCGAATCGTCCCGCAATATCCTGGCGCGGTACTTTGGGCGTGTGCACCTCTTCAGGGCCGAGCGCGTTTTCCTTATTACTCCCAGCGCCGGTGTACCTGTCCTCTCGTGGCCGACACAAATCTGCTCGACGTCACGGCGAATTACTTCGCGGCGGAAGTTCGTGCCACGCGCAACTTACGACGCGCCGGGGATGCATTCCGCTCTCTCTCCTCAAGGTGTGTTTTCTCCGTGTGTCCTTCCGAAGTTTTTCTATTTTCCTGCACGCACAGCACAGCCGGCGCACCCTCCCCTCGTGAAAGTTTCGCGGCGAAAGTTTCCCTCGCTCGCAGCTCGTCAGGAGACCCTAGACCTTGAAGAACTCTCCGGGAATAACTCCTCCCAACAACGTCCTCCCGGATGTTATCCCGCGCGCGGTTATTGATGTTTCCAGCTCGTTTCCCGTGTCCCTTGCCGTCCCCTAATCCGACGATCTGCATTCCCGCCGACTAATTTAATACCGACGATTCGTTTAGCGTCTCTGTTCGAGTCACTCCGCTCTATCCCGTGATCCAGAAAAATCTCCATCAGACGCATACCGCGCGCGGCTTCGCAACCGCGAGATGCGGGACTCCCGCATTTCCATAAATCAGCCTCGAGCTAGTTATATCGGTCCTGCCAATCAATGCACTGATTTGTTTCGGCCGATGCGTCACAGGGAGTTGCTATTCTTGCGAAAGCGAGGAATCGATAATAGATTCTTGGTTGGTTCAGTTTTTAGACTGTCCAGAAAACGGTTCGGCAAGGCGTCGTTCAGATGTCGATACGCGAGGCAACGTTAACTTTTTGATGGTCGGCTGGGCCAGGTTTGAACCTCTTTCAATTCTTATTGAACATTCAGACTTCTTAATCTAACAGGTAGCTAGGTCGGTTTTGTTATTATCATTGAAACTTGATTTTCTAATTCCTTGCACGATGATCTAGCTGGGAGTCTTCGGTATACAGAGCTAAAGAATCAATGCTCGCCCAAGCATAATCAAGTGTCATACAATATTCTAATTTTTTAATCTATTAGATTAATTTTAATACTTTAATCTATTACATAGTATGCAGCGCGGTGTCCGGGTCAGTTTGGAACCAAGTTCTAAGTTCTCAATCTGTTTTCTAATTTCTTCTTTGAATATGCAGCTACACCAGCTAGGGTAGTGGAGGTTCAATGTTGACCCAAGCACTGTCAATTCTCGGCCGATATTTAAATTTTTTAATCTATTGTGTAGCTTGACTGGGAATCGATAAATTTTGAGCAACAGTGACGAGAAACAGTCTTCAACGCTTTATACTTTCCGATCTGTTTCGACCCATGTCTTTAATCCTCAAAATTAATCAAATAACGTGGAGACCGATCGAAGACGAACCTCGGCGAACTTCTTTCCGAGATCCTCAAATGAGCTTTCACCTTGTATTTCACTTTATCTCAAATGATCTAGATGCCGGTGGCAGCGTTCGTCCCATTCGAGGATGGAGAGTTTCTCACGTTAGCCGGTGATCTTCTTAACGCAGGATACCATGGCGCTACCGTTCCATCGGGTCCTGGTGTCGGTAATCCCATAGGACACGGTCGACGCATCAAAGACAACTCGTGACGGATTGAGACGGCCACGAGGCGCGACGTTCGTAACCTTCGAGGATCGATTCCGTCTACGACCGCTTCCTCCACCTTCTCAGGATCCTCTATCCGACGGACAACGCCGTTTGTCCCACACCTCTGATGCGGTGGAGATTACCGAGTTTCGGGTGGACCACCGCGAACCCTCTTCTACGCTCCTCTGGCCGCTGAGAGGATGCTCCCCCGGGGCCGGACCTGGAAAAGATTGTTTGCGTTCAATCAGCCGTGGTTGCAGGAAATACTAATAAGAGTGTCGGGGCAGTCATCCCGCGAGAGGATTCTAAATTGGGAACCCCGTGGCTCCGGAGATTTATTCGAGACCGGCGGGCTCTGGCATACTGAATAAAATGATCCATCGTCTCATTGTCCCTTGAATTTATCGACACGCTGACTGGCTCATCCATTTGCCACAAATTATAGGTCGAATTATACGCGAAATCGGGCACTTCTTGGAGTACTGTCTTTTGCAGCAGGTCAGTTGAAGGTCATGTCAAGGTTATTAATGACATACTAATTTTTAATGGTACATAGGATTGGAAAGTTGTCTCACAACGAACAGATTAAATACAGCGGCTCACAAAAGTGTTCGTACATCTTCTAAAACGTAGTAACATTTTTAAAACTCAAGTAAATGATTTGAATTTTTTTTTAGGTGATAGAGGGACTGGTCTACTAGATGATGGCTGAAATGGCGTTTTTTAAATTTAGCTATTACTTGGAATGACAAAAAAAGATAAATGACTCTTGTTTTTCAACTTTTTTATCTGAGCCTACTCTTAATTTGTTGTAACTCATAGCAACGTGAAGCAATTTCGATCGAATTGTCAGCATCAAAAAGTTAAAAAGCGAGAGAATTTTATTTCTTTTTGTCTTTGCAGGTTGTATCAATATTTAAAAAAAGTATTTTGGCCATCGACTAGTAAACCAGTCTCGCTATCATCTGAAAAAAGTTCAAGTCACTCAGCCTGGTTTTAAAAAAGTTATTGCGTTTTAGAAGGTGCACGAACATTTTTGTGGGCCACTGTACATCTATTTGCTACTTAGTTTCGAGAAAGTAGATATTTTCATTCTCCCCAAAACTAACTGGAGTTTTGACTAATAAAAAAATAGGACAAATCACCACCAAGGTATTCGAAATTGAAATCATTCTGGCATAGAACAGTTTCTGTTGGAGTTACTCGTTCATCACGGCTCACTGGTTTGCCAGTTTTTCCGAATTTTGTTTGTCCTGTCAAACGTCTGCGTTGCACCGCATCAGTTGCACCTGTCGAAACACAGAAAGCATGGCAACCGAATACCTTTGCTAGTACTGACAACAACGCGAAAAATATTGCAGATGTTCCACGGCGGCAAATTGTTTTCTTTTCTTTTTGTTTAGACTGCGAATCGATTTTCGATTTGATGGCAAGGATACCCAGAGTCCTTTTAACCGAAAATTCTAACAAAGAACCATGCTTCTACTGTTGCTGTTTTTGGTCGTTTCGTGGCTTCGTGCCAGTTAAAATATTAAAAGATTATCGTTATCGTTCGAAAAAGCGATAACAACTGTATCCGTAATTCAGCAAATTTTTTGGATTAATACTACGTAATTATACTGCTGTTAAAATTATTGTTTAAAATACACTTATCAAGCTTCGGATATATCTCAGTCATTGCAAAGCCCTTTCATCCTCTATTAACCCCTTGACATACCATTTTCTTTGCAGTTCCCGCGATCACAAATTTTTCGATTGCAATCATTTCTTAGGAGGAAAAGAAAATTTATCGCGTGCTTAAATTTACTTGAACGCTTAAATATCAATGGCAAGAGATTAGAATTTTATTCCAATTTAAAAGGACGGAATAATATCTATAAATAATCCCTTTAACCCCCTATGAACCCCTTGACATACCATTTTCTTCGCAGTTACCGCGATCAGAAATTTTTCGATTGCAATCATTTCTAAGAAGGAAAAGAAAATTTATCGCGTGCTTAAATTTACTTGAACGCTTAAATATCAATGGCAAGAGATTAGAATTTTATTCCAATTTAAAAGGACGGAATAATATCTATAAATAATCCCTTTAACCCCCTATGAACCCCTTGACATACCATTTTCTTCGCAGTTACCGCGATCAGAAATTTTTCGATTGCAATCATTTCTAAGAAGGAAAAGAAAATTTATCGCGTGCTTAAATTTACTTGAACGCTTAAATATCAATGGCAAGAGATTAGAAATTTATTCCAATTTAAAAGGACAAAATAATATCTATACACGTTATATTATCACTGGAAATAAACTCGCAGCAAGTGAAGTGTTGCTAACAGCGGAACGAGGTCTATTGTTTCTGTCGAAGTAGAAAATTGCGTATTCAATCGTATCTGCGACCCGATATTCGGTCCAGTTTCAAGAGTACTCCTGCGGACTTCGAAAAGGGATGTTAAACTCGCATAGAGAATTTGGTTGGAGCGTGTTCGGTCGTCCATGACGTCCAAATGAAGAAGCTTACTGCAACCAGGGATTCCTTTCCCACAGAGTTTTCATTCACAGAAAAACCGCACGCTGCCGGCTGAAAGAATAAACCTTGAAGCTTCACTGTTTACCGTCTATAAAAGCTCCGGGAATTCTTTCTTTGAGGGGGAAGAAACGAGAAAAAAGGGGCCGGGATGTAAGAAATAGGTGATACGGGACTCGAACTCCCAACTTCACGACGTTTTTACGTTCAAAGTTCCGAGGTCGCGAGCCTTCTTCATAACAAAATCTCTTATGCCATTCTTCTTGACGACTCTACGAGAAAGAAAAACAATTCCAAACAATTCTCGTCTTTAATCTAAATTTATAATGGCTTTCGCTTTTAGACCAAGTCGACAGTGCTGTTCGCAGTACCAAGGTGCACGCTTTTAACGCGAACATTCCCTACGACATTTTGCTGAAGGATTTTAGGATACACTGTAAAGTGGATGATAGAATAAATCTGAGATTTCTGCATTTTCGCTGCAATGAACTGGTCTTTTCGCTGGAGTTATTCATAGCTCCAAGATTCAAATTGTTTCAATCAAGAAGTATCTTTCATCGAATTGCACAAGGACCTTCGAGGACTTCTTCGAGGACGATTGGAATTGATTACAACGTATTATAATTCTTTAAACTAGTCAAGCTGTCTAACGTGAGGATCTCTAGCGGGATTTTTTCCCGCATTTTCCAGTAGCTTGCAAAAGAACGTATTATATTTATAATTGAAAATTATGATTATATATTAATAATTGAAAATTATGATATAAAAAAGAAACATGGGTCTCATATTAGGAGCCTTCACTCTAATGCTATTCCCAGTTCCAAGATCCAAAGTTCCTCAATAAAAAAGTACTGCGTTCTTCACAAAGACTTCCGCATCCTCGTTTCACCAGAAAAATTGTTTAATCAAATTCGATGTAATGTGATAATCTATTGTTGGCTCTACACTCTACACGATGCGATCACCAACGCGTTTATCACGGTGGTGTTGGAACAATAGTTAGGGACCTCCTTGTGTAACAATCCGGAAACGGGAATGTGCGACGGTTAATGACGTCTGCTGTGCCCGCATTATTCCGCTGTTTTCGAAGGGAGGAACTTCGAAACAGTCTGTGACACGCCGTTCCACCGAGATGTTACAATGATCTCTCGAAGAGACACCAGGGACACCTATATTATGAAGATCCTCAAGCCCAAGGCGTGCTACTCTCATTCCCAGCGTCGGGTTTCCACTGCCTACAGATGCAAATCCGGTTTTACCAAGGAAGTTTCTCTTTTCTCGCTGACGAACTGAATATATTACAGTATTATATCGAAGAGGAACTATTTCGAACAATAGTCTCCTCCATGTTCCTCGAATTGAATTCCCGTTTCATGAATTACTGAAGTTTTTGTGTGCTTCGTCTTGAATATCTTTGTTGTTTTCCAAAAGATATTTGCTTCCATGTTATTTTTTCGGTAACTTTTTAGATCTCCTTCTTTTACTACACGAGACCAGCCCATTTTCGATACGTGCGACGATAATCCTTTTCATTGGAAATTCGGTGACTATACAGGATGTTCTAAAAATGTCTCGTAATACGGAAATGGGGGGGTCGCTGAGGTGATTTGAAGAAACTTTTTCCTTAGCGAAAATGCAATCCGAGGCTTCGTTTACGAGATATTGGCGAAAAGCCGTGACCAATGAGAGGCGAGATCAGCTGGCGCGAGGCGGCCGAGCCAATGAGCGGAACTGGGCTTCGTGCGCTCGTTGGCTCGCCAGCCGGCTCGCCTCTTATTGGTCAGGGTTTTTCGTTAATAACTCGTAAACGAAGCCGCGGATTGCATTTTCGCTAAGGAAAAAGTTACTTCAAATGACCTCAGGAACCTCCCATTTCTAGATTGCGAGACATTTTTGGGACACCCTGTAATTAATCATGATAATTCAAGGTTACGACCAGAGAAATTTAAACACGCAATAACATTCAAGGACCTTCGTACGTTTACTCCAATTTGCACCGGTGATAAATAAATGTATTCTGTTTTAAAATAAAATATACTCTGACCTGGTATGATCTTCAATAATTATAATTGTGGAATCCTTAATGAAAAGGATTCTTATCGTATATGTTTAACGCTAAACCTACCGAGACCGCCATA